AGCGTTCGGGATTTCCAAGATTAGTTCAGGACAAGTGTAGGTCCTTGGCAGCCGTTGAGGTTTCCAACGGCTTGTTTCTCTTTGGACACTCAGGCTGCGGCAGCTGGGTCTGCGAAAGGCCAATAGCATCAAATTACTCAAGATCCGCTTTGACGCTGTTCGATCCCCTTCAACAGCTTTCTCGGGGATTTCGCCATATACCATCTGGAAGTCGCATCCCATCGATCCATCGACTGAGCTTTGACTCACTTGTCCGATGAACAAGGTTGCCTCATTTGACACTCCCAACGCCGTTGCGGACAGGCGATGCCGTTATCAACGGCCAGAAAGTATGCAGCAAGCACTGCATTCAAAGGCTCCTCACAGAGTCTTAATTATATTTTCTGAAACTTCCCATCGCACCCGCCATGCCCCAAGTCTACTCATACAACAGGGAAACAAGAAAAAAGGTATTCCCCCCGAGAATCCTCCGCCAACGCCGTGATATGCAACTGTGTATATGTCCCTCTTGTGTATGACACTGCTGTTCTGTCTGTACGCCGTCGTCTTCAACTCCATGCTCAGGAAGACGCGTTGCCCCTACGCCGGTCCACGTTCCTCACCTTCCGGAGGGGCTTGTTCTGCGCCATACGGTACTTGGTATATAATCGGAACGCGTCGCGGAGCACGATGTACATGCACCCGCCCACCAGGTTGCGGCCCCATTGGTCCTGGAGCAGACCCGTCCGCACCCGGAACCGACCGAACCCGTTCGGCGGAGCGGTGAGGTGCTTCGGCAGCGCGAGACGCAGGAGCTCGCCGACGCCGGCAGAGATCATGGGAAGTAGAAGCGTGCTCGCGAGAGCGTTCGTGACGTCGCGCAGGCTCGTCTGAAGGGGACGCTGGCGGGCCGCGGGCGCCGCTTGCGCAGGCTGTTGAGCAGGCGCTGCGGGCTGGTTGTTCTCCTGCGGCTGTCCCTCCACGCCAGCAGCAGCCTCAGCGGCAGCGTTCACCGCGTTTGCCCTCTCCTCCTCCGCGGCCGCATCTTCCATCTCCTCCACAATGATCTCAAGATGCGCCATGCCGTCTCCGTCCTCCATCTCTGCTTCCTCCACCTCTACGTCGACGGCAACATCGGGGATATCCAGCATGTCTATCGCCGCATCGAGCAACCCCCCGACGATGCCAATGTTCCGCTGCCCGTCTCCGCCCTGCCCGCGAGCGCGGCGCTGCTCTCTGCGCTCTTGTCGGTTGGCCTGCTGCGGCGGCGGCGGCGGCTCCGGCAGGCCGGCCAGTCTGCGCTCCCACCGCCGCTCATACTGGCACACAAACTCGTGGTAAATGTTATTGTACGCTGCCCTTATGTACGGAAACGCCGCGGCGGCAAGTTGGGGGGACGGCGGCCACGAGAAGAAGTTGTCATCGCGCGCCATGTGGAAGACGCCATACTGTGGGAAATATTCGTTAGCTAGCCATCAGGATGCAAACGTAGGCATATAGGTTCTTACGAGCGCCGCTGCGGGCATCATGAAGACGTTGCCCAGCACGGGGAACGACTGTCCAATGATCAGGGCCGGCGCAATGGTCGGCAGCGCGGCGACGTGGATCCAGTTGACCGTCGGCACACCCCGCGGGTTCCTCTCGTTGAAGAAGAATCTGTACGTAGCCTCGGGCCCGGCGAAGACGCGCACTGCGATGTTACCGTACATGGCGAGGCCGACCCATGTCCCGGCGCCGATGCCCCCGAGGATCAGGCCCGGGGAGATCTTGCTGAAGGTCTTGTAGATCTGGTTGCTCAGCGCCAGGGCCGGGTCCCACGGCTCGTCAATGTTGATGAGGGCCTTGCAGACGGGACATCGGATCTCCTTGTTTTCGCGCTCGAGGTCCGTCACCCATTCGATCATGCAGTCCTGGTGGCCCTCGAGGGTGCAAGGACACGGGTGCACCCAGGCGGACTGCGAGGCGCCGGCCTCGTTCTCGTCGCTGAGGCAGATGAAGCAGCGGCGCAGGCCATCTTGAGGCGGCTGAGGCCGAGGAGCGCCGTCGGCCATGGTTCGTGGGGGTGGTGGGCTTGCGGACGTCCCTCGGCTCGTCGGGATCGGGGTTTGAGAAGGTGTCGTGTGCGCGCGAGCCTGGAAATGGCCGGGTTGCGGGTGTCGCTGGGTGCTCAAGGGGTTTGTCGGTTGAGTATTCTAGCGCATGTTATGTTCGATTTGATGTTAGCACCGAGAGTGTTCGGATCGCGAATCAGCCGCAGCCAGCGGTGGTGGTGGTGGTGTTGAAATGTTGGTTCTGGCCAGCCTGATTGCTTGCTGAGAGCTCGAGCCAGTGTGACATCAGCTTGGCGGGATGGGACGTGGAGGTTCGCAGTCAGCGACCGAGGTGGAAGTGGAGGGTGGGGTCCACGTGGCTGTCAGTCGATCTGTGGCTGTGCTAGCGTTCGATATCAGCCACACATGACTTTGAGCTCTCAGCTGATTTCCATCTACGGTAACTTGCTTTGATGGTTTCTGGCAGAGTAACATCGGCTTGTGGATATTTCATTGCTGATTGACTTTGGCTGCTGGCTTCCGCAATAATACGCAACCAAGACTGGCCAGAGTTGGGACATGCCCCTGGACTGTTGCTTTTACCTAGGCTGCTTCACTGCGGACGACAGCAGAAGACTGCCCCTGATGTCTCTGCAAGAATGCCTTCCAACTTAGGGTCACAGGCAATCCTGTGAACCAAACCCACAATCGGAAACTTGAAATCATTCACGAAAAGTCCTGGTCCTACCTCACAATCTCATAGTCTCATGCCCAACCGTCGTACCGAATCAGCGGGGTAACCCAACCGCCTTTCACTCCAGCCCAGGTTTCCCCCCAAAAACCCCACATCACCCAACTCGCACTGGCACCAACTGGAACCTTCCAGCCATACAGCGCCGTCACAAGCCCAAAGCCAACCCAAGCGGTACCAAGCAGTCCACACTGGTGCAGCCGCAGGCCAAAGCAGCCCCTCACCGAGGAGCCTCCTCGCGAAAAACCACAGTCCCCTTTCTCTTCACATCTAGACACCGTCACCATCTACCCTCCTCCCCTTTGATACCCCTTTCGACAGACCTCTTTTTCTTTTCGGTATATCTAACAGGTCCATCAAGATGGTAAGTAACGCCCTGCCCCGTTTCTTCGCAACCACCGCAGAAAAACCCAACTGACCCCTCCTCCCCCTCCACAGGCCTCAACCACAAAGCAGCGCCTCGCCGTCGCGATCTGCGAATTCCTCTCCTCCTCCGTATCCGACGGCACCCTCCCCGCCGACGACAAGGACTCCGTCGACGTCGCCATCCAATGCATCGCAGACTCCTTCAAGGTCGACCCCTCCGACCCCAAGCAGCTCGCCGACGCCGTCGGCACCCAGAACCTCTTCCAGATCTACGCCGTCTATGAGTCCCTCAAGAAGGCCAAGGAGCAGAACGCCCCCGCCGCTGCCGAAGGCGCTGCCGCTGGAGCTGCCGCCGCCGCAGCTGCCGCAGGCGGCACCACCCCCAAGGTCCCCACCGACGCCGAGAAGAAGGACGCCGAGGCCCTCAAGTCCAAGGGCAACGCCGCCATGGCCACGAAAGACTACCCCGCCGCCATCTCCCTCTACACCCAGGCCCTCGCCCTGCACCCGACCAACGCCGTCTTCCTCTCCAACCGCGCCGCCGCCCACTCCGCCGCGAAGGACCACACCTCCGCCAAGTCCGACGCCGAGGCCGCCGTCGCCATCGACCCCACCTACACCAAGGCCTGGTCCCGCCTCGGCCTCGCCCGCTTCGCCCTCGGCGACGCGAAGGGCGCCATGGAGGCCTACGGCAAGGGCATCGAATACGAGGGCTCCGGCGGCTCCGAGGCGATGAAGAAGGGCTTCGAGACCGCCAAGCGTCGCGTCGAGGAGATGGAACAGGAGGAGGTCGACCTGCCCCGCTCGTCTCCCGGCGCCGGCGGAGCTGGCTCCGGAGGCATGCCCGACCTGAGCAGCCTCGCGAGCATGCTCGGCGGAGGTGGTGGTGCCGGCGGCGGCGGCATGCCCGATTTCAGCCAGATCATGAACAACCCTATGTTCGCCAGCATGGCACAGAATCTGATGAGCAACCCGGAGTTGATGGGCAACCTTATGGGCAACCCGCGTCTCAGAGAGATGGCGGACCGCTTCGGTGGCGGTGGAGGCATGCCTGACCTCAACAGCCTCATGTCCGACCCGAGCATTGCTGAGATGTGAGTTTTTCTTACCTGGACGAGCTTGTGGTCGCATACTAACATATACAGGGCCCGTAACATGATGGGAGGCGGCGGCGGTGCGGGTGCGGGTGCAGGTGCTGGCGCTGGTGCCGGTGCCGGTGCCGGTGGTGCTGGTGCTGGTGCTGGTGCGGGCCGCGGCAACTAGGCTTGAGGATTCTGTCTAGTTTTAATCCCTCGTTGGAAGAGGAGTGTCGTTTGGTTGCGACGACAAAGAGCTTCAAGTTGAGGCTCACCTAGAACCACCTTACGTCGAGATATATATGAGATACCGATGCATGAATAGAGGACCATTCACGGCCTGCCACCAATCAATCGCGATGTGTGGAAATTGTGCGCGCATTTCAGCAATACAACAGTCTTTTCGATTGAGGCTTTTCTGATCAGTTTGCCGCCCGCCAATACTTGTACATCCCAATCTAATCTAAGAAAACGTCTTTTTAATCTCTACTTTTGTCCGCCACGAGTTTTAAAAACCTTTCAGCGCCAATTTTTTGTGTCCTTACGGTAAAATAACTGACCGTCTCTTCATACTGACATAGGAAACCCACCCTTGATCTTCTAACATGCCGGCTTGCGCAGACCCCTCCGTCTAGATAATACCATGTAGCCCACGCGGCTGTCAAAGGGGCAAGGCGGCAGACTAATTTGGTGTTGGTGGTACAAGGACCCAAGGCCAAGAATGGTGCAATGAATCATTCAATGTGTGAAGAAGAGAAATGTTGTAGGAAATGTAGGTCAAGTGTGCCGGTTGCCGGCCTAGGCCTGGTTGCCAGAGCGAACGGGTGTTCCGGGTGTTTTGTTATGGTTCTGACGACCTCGCCACCGACCACCTCTTCCACGGTGAGACCGTCCTCGACCGCCCCGAAATTGGTTCGATTGATGAGGTGGATGGTCGGAAGACAGCGCAGGCGCGGTAGGACGAGTGTTCTCTTTTCCAGAGGGTACCGACTCGGACTTGGTAGGAGAAATCGAGGTTGGTTGGTGAGGGACATTGAAGTTCTCAGAGGATTGCTCATGGCCCCTGTTGGTCGGCGACATCTTTTTGACGACGACGGTCACGGGAGTAGTGATCTCCCTGGCTGCCGGGGTGGTAACCTTCATAGGCAACGCCGGAGCAGACACTCGTCGTATCTCCTGCAAACCAGTCAGCGAAGAACATAACGCACCCTTCCAGAGCACTTACGGGACTGGAGGTGTCGGTTTCGCCATCGTCCCGGGATCCGTCATCGTCTGCCGGCTGTCCAGTGGATTCGCTCTTCGAGTTAAAGCGACGGCTGGTCGGGTGCGGAGTTCTAAGCTGAACGTTCATTTTGATCACGGTGTCTGCGCTCCCGCCGTCGGAGTCGTCTCCGTTGTCTCCTACAAGACCTTTTACCGGGGTTTCCGAGGGAAAGTCGCCGTCAGATGACGGGGAGCTGGCCCAGTTCTTGACGCGTCTACGGGTCGGCGAGGCAGTGGGAGTCGTGAAGAGAACTCTGGAGGCTGCGTGGACGAGAGCCGCAGTCTTGGGGGTAAACTCCGCAGCAACAGGGTTCAGCTTGGATCCCTAGGCACAATCAATGGTTAGAATCTGTCAAAGATGAATCTTCGACTGACTCTACCTCTTTCTTGTGACCATTGGGCTTGCCCTCGCTTCCGTTGTTGGCGTCATTGGCCCCCTTTCCGTTCTCATCGTGGGCGGAATCATCCTTCGGCTTCTTGCCGTTGGCTTTCTGTGTGTTGACCGACTCGGACGTCTCGCCACCAGTGGCGTCAGTCTGCTTTCCGTCGGTCGGGTCGTCGTCCTTGGGTTTCAAAAACGTCTGCTTGGACCACAGATCGGCATATCTGCCTTTGGCAACGACCAAGTCAGCGTGGTTGCCCTGCTCAACAACCTCGCCATCTTCAATGACCACAATGCGGTCAGCATTCATGATCGTGGACAGGCGGTGGCTGATGCATATTTGGTTAGCAAATGGGGCAGGGTGGGGGTCGAGGCAAGCTGAACTTACGCAACGATGAACGTCGTTCGACCCTTGCAAAGCTGCATAAAAGAGTGCTGAATCTTCTGCTCAGTGTCGGTGTCCACGGAGCTGGTGGCCTCGTCGAGGAGAACGATCTCGGGCTGCTTGAGGATGGCACGAGCGATAGCAACACGCTGGAGTTCGCCGCCGGAAAGTTTACTGCCAAAAGTCAGCTTCGATTCCATCCGCAGGTTCCAAGTTACTCACATTCCACGCTCACCAACCCGCGTGTTGTAGCCATCGGTGAAGGTCACGATCTTATCATGAATGCAAGCTGCCCTGCAAGCGTCGAAAACTTCATCGTCCGAAGCCGTGATTCTGGCGTACCGAATGTTGTTCATAATCGTGTCGTCGAACAGGATGGGGTTCTGAGGGACCAGGCCAATTCGGTCACGGAGGCTGTGGAGATCCACATCACGGACATTCTGTCCATCGATGAGAATGGTTCCTTCGGTCGAGTCGTAGAAGCGATTGAGCAGCTTCAACATGGTGGACTTGCCGGCACCAGTAGCGCCGACGAAAGCCACAGTTTGGCCACCGGGAACAGAGAGGCTGATGCCGTTGATGATCTTCTTCTTTTTGTCGTAGCTGAAACTGACATCTTTGAAATCAACATTGCCACCGACAAGCTTCAGCGGACGTGCGCCCTTCTTGTTGACAATGGTGGGCTGCTTCTTCATGATGTCCAGCAAGCGCTCGGCGTCGATAAGGTCGCTTCCTATCTTCTTACCAAGGCTCGCCATGAAGCGGAGTGGCGAGGTCAATTGGGCCCAGTACATCAGCAACATAGTCAGATCACCAGGCGTGGCCTTGGAGTTCTTGATTCTGTACACAGCCAGAACCGAGCCAGCCAGTAAACCGCACAGGAGGACAAGAGATTGGAAAGCTTGCGCGGTGAACCAACCCAGACGGACACGCTTTGTCCAGTTGATGCGGGTATGGATGGCGTTGGAGTAGCGAACATCCTCGTACGTGGTCTGGTTGAAGGAAGCGACGGTGTGCCATCCCGTGATTCCAGTCTGGCGTACGTAATGCTCGGCGTACTGTGCATTCACGTGGGCTCGTCGGCGCTCCTTCATGACTGCTATCATCTTGGTCGCAATGAACAGGAACAGAGTGCTTGTCGTAATAGTGATGAAGCCCTCGTACGGTCCAAGGGTGATGGAGAGGTAGACCACAGCAACGACCAAGTCGATGAGCATGGGAAGAGCCTGAAAGCATATGGACTCGAGCAAGTCGGAGATGCTGGACCCTCCGTACATGGCCAAGCTGATATCAGAGGTACTCTTGGAGTCGTGGAAGTCGGCCGAGAGGTTGAGGATGTGGCGATACGCAGCGGTGCTCAAGGCTCCATCAGCGTATACCTCGAGGGGGAGATAAAGCCACTCTCGCAAGAACTCAATACCGGCGTCAGAGGCGGCGATTCTCAGCAGACCGTAGATGCCCACACCAATCCAGGCACTGCTGAAGTCTCTGTCTTTGAGCTCATCGACAATAATACCGAACTGCCGGGGGATGAGCAGATTCAGAGCATTTCCGGCAAGGAGGCAGAGGCCAACAAGAACGAGGCGGAACTGTAGAGCTTTTTGACCGACGGGCCAGAAATAAGGAAAGAGAATCTGGACGTACGAATCAGCAAAAAGGTCACCCCAATGCAAAAATGCGACAAACGCCTCTTGGACGGAAGCCAACTTACCGTGAAGCCTTTGATATAGGTGAGCCAGTTACCCTCCTCCTGCAGCCGCTTCTCCATCTCTTCTTGGGCCTTCCGCTGGCGCTCCTCCCAGTACGACTCAGGCTGGCTGGTTGATCCATAGCCGGAACCCGAGCTCTGGCTACCGCTACCAGAACTGTTCAGACGTGACTTGGGATCATCTTGAGCCAGAAGAGATTGTCTTTCCTCATCGGTGGCATCTTCCTGGCTAGCCCGGATTCGCTGAACAACGTAAATCGAGAATATGGTCAGAAGGAGGTAGTACCGTAAGCCAGAGAAGACAAGGTGGCCAATACGGCAGTACTCAAAGGTGATGGAGTGTCGGAGGATGAGGTCTGGGACCGCAATGAAAGGCTCCAACACGATGGAGATGATCCAAGAGCCCCAGTAAGGAGTCCATACGGGGTGCTCAGTGTCCGAGAGAAAAGCAAGTTGGGTGCCAAAGACCAGAACGCAAGACAAGAGACCAATGACCTCGTGCTCCTGACCAATCCATTCTTGACGGATGATGGATTGGATGCCGATAATGGACAGCTGAGCGACGTAGGTCAGGACGAAGGCCACGAACAGGTTGACGATCCACGAGCGAGGGATATTTTCCTTTCCGGGGTTGGTGGAAGCCTTCAGTGTCTGAAGGGTGCAGACGGCAACGGCAGAAGCAATTACGAAGTACGTGAAGGCCGCGGCCGGATAGAGGTAGTGAAGGCTTTCAAGAAGCTCTTCGAGGGACGCCATTGCGGCGGATTAGGTGGTGGAGTTCGGTAGAAGCAAGCCGAAGAAGGAAAAAGACGCAACTAAAAACGATGGAGACGGACGAGATTGAAGAAAAGTGGACGATGGTAGAGACGAGCAACGGCTCAGAGGAAGATGGAAGATGGAGTTGAAGTTGGAGCTTGGACAGGACGCACGAGGCAGACAAGGTAGTCCGATGTCGAGCGCCGGCGGAAGCAAGGAAGACGCAGGACGGGGAAGACGGGAATGTGCTTGCCAGGCGTCTGGTCGATGTTTCGTTTCCTTCCCCGGAAGTCTGTTGGAGAAAAGGCAAGCAAGCGCCAACCGAGAGCTTGGATGAGATGGCCGTCGAACGGACCTGAGCGGGCAGAAGTCAGTTTCGTGTATTCCTTCCGGTAAAGATGTTGCAGAGAGGGCGACTGGGAAGTGACGCGAAGACGGCTTGGAGCACGGCGAACTTACCTTTGATTCCTTTTACCTCTAGAAAGGCGTATGAAGGAAGGGAGCGATGCCACACCTGCAAGGTACGGGATTTGATGCCACGATAACCCTGGCCAGATAGACGCTTCAAGTAAAGTACAGCCAGCCAAGCACCTTGCTGAGAACTTAGGTTCAGGTGCCAAACGGGAGCGGCCGCCGGATCCAATGACGAAAGGACACAGGAATTGACAAAGAGAGAGCTTGTGTTGAGCGTCAAGCCAGCGCAGGACCGATGCCCGAGCGGAGGGAACGTGAGCCAGTAAGTGACCCCAGTATCCTGGACAGCAAAGAATGGCTGAGGGCAGCAGGTCTCAGGAGAAGGCGGCCGATGCAGGGGATCGATCAGCTCCTGCCAAAGGCAATTGCGAGATCAATCTAATACCTGCCTCAGGGAAGGTACGGAAGAAAGGTACGGAGGTCACTCCGGTCAGATGGCACCTATATGGGAGGAGCCACGGCGGGAGGGAGGATCCAATTGGGGCAAGTCGAGGCTGTGTCCGTGTCCGTGATTTCCAGCTAGGAAGGTACGAGGTAGGTTGGTAACCGAAGGAAGGCAATGTAGGAGGTAGCTACCAAAGAAGCAGGAACAGTGTTGAGGCGGACGGGAAGGCGCGAAACTCGTAGTCCTGTCGTTCCTTCTCCCTGGACTCCCAAAAAAATTTGGACGTGAAAAATGCAACCGAAAACGTGTTGCTGCAAATCTCCAAACCCCAACCGTTCTGTCTCGCCTTGTCGTACCTCTCGGCTCGCCCTGCGTTAGGTCGCGCTGGTCAATGCAGGAGAGCGACTCTGGGCAGATTGAAGGGAATTCCTCTGCTTTGTGTAACGCCAGCAGAGGCCTTGTATCCTTGGATCAGGGTAGGCTGGGATTGAAATGAGATGCGAGGGAGAAGGGCGTGCAAGTTGCCCGCTGTACTGCGCGACCCTCAGATTCTGCAAGCACGCTCTCGTCACTCTTCGTCTCGCCCTGCCTACCGTGCCAAAACCTAATTCGAGCTCAAGCGACACGCTCTTCTGATTCCTCAGATGATGTATGTCGCCTCTCCCACATCTAACGGGAGCGTTGTTTGGCGAAGAGCCCCGGTCTCCGTGCCGCGTGCAGAGACAGACGTGGACGGCCACGTAGAGACACGTATCGATGTGCTGCAGATATGGTACGCTCCGTGTCGCCTCAGAGATTGGACAAGTGGCCCAGCTGACGGTCTTTCTTCTTCTAGACCTGCAGAGAGAAAAAGTTTTCCAGACAAGCAATGGAGAGAAAACAACAAGATTCCGAAAGAAGACGGTCGTGTTACCCGACCTGCAACTGCGCTGTTGCTTCGCCCACACGTACACACACACACTCACCACACCCCGGTAGCCGTGATGCGTGCTGCAAGCTGCGTCCCGTGTCCGCCTGGGTCGAGGCTCCCGTTGCCAACCTGTCGATTCCGACTGGATGATACCGAGCAATCAGTCTGAGATTGCCGCTGCAGATGCCCTTGTCAGATGGTGCTTGTCCAAGTGGTTGGTTCGCTATCGCCGTCGCCGTGGTTTGCCCTCGTACAGACAGTGAGATGCTGATCAAAAGACAGAACAAGAAACGTTGTTGGTTTGCGTGCGACAAGCTCGATGGGAGATATTTGGATCAACTGTTGAGGTTTCCGTACTGACTCAGATGCACATCAAGTGTCCATCAAGGTTCCAGGTCTTGCAAACAGATGTAATGACGCGCAAGTGGAGGTGGATACACCAAGATGCCCGTTTACCTAAGATGGCTGTCTGGTCCGTCAAGATGGGCTTCCCCGTCTGTTCCCATGCACCGGCCAGAGCCGTCGCAAACCAAAAAGAAAGACAGATTGGCTGACACCAGCAATGACACTTCGCGGAATGGGGCGAGCTTCTTCGCAAGTACGTGGGGTAGCTGGAGAAGTTAGGCCGTCGTGGTGGTGCGAGCGCGAACCTGACATCAAAGCCATCGTGGGAACGGACGGGAGTCTCGGACCTTTAAGGCATGTCGATATCGCTTTCTCCATCCTTCATGGCCCTCCGACGGCCTGGTGGCTGGCTCTGGGGTCGTCCAACAGCTGAACCAGCATCATTCACCGGCTTGCCTAGGTTCATACGGCATACCAAAAGCAACCCCAGACTGCCATGCCATCGAGGCTCGTTTAGATCCATGACGCGCGCACCTCCTGGCGGCTCTACTGCCTGTTTTCAGGCATCCAGCAGGCTCGTCTTACCCGTCAGCATTCTTAAAGAGCCCATTCCCCCGAGAAAATGCCATCGGAGATTACACGAGACAGTCGGTTTTCAAATTTGGTCCACATACAGAGCCTCATCGTGACTCACAACGGCGCGGCTCTGCTATTCATTGTGGTGGTTGCCGGAGGCCGCAGGCAATGAGCCAGTGATGAATCACAATGGGAAAAAGAACGAACGGCGGACGCTCAGCTGCCTAGACTTCGGTAGGCAGTGCTGAACAAGTAGCGGAATACCCCAGTCGGAATTTATGTTGGAGGGTTCCATTCTTACTGCCGACCCACGTCTTCCCCCTGGACGCGCAGCTGCAGCGACGCGCATTAGGGTGACCGGTGACCAACCGTGCCCCTGTTCTTCCAGTTGGCTCAGCAATTTTTTCCAACACTGCCCGACGGGCTTCTACGCGATGTCAGCCAACATATTGGGGGTCATGAACCATTGGTCTTGTGTCACGGTCAGCTTCTACCGCCGGGGCTCGGTTTGACCGCAGTAGGGAGTCTCTAGAGCATTCGGTCCCTCAGCTCGGTGATCACCAAAGCCAATCAAGGACCTGTATTCTCCAACAGCAGCATATCCAGCTAGGTAGCTGTAGCTGCAAGACTTGTGGCACGGATCCCTGGCGCTGAGCACTCTCAGTATCCCTGTCAGCATGCAAGGTACATAGTGCTGTCGCCTTGAGGTCTGCAAGCTGCAGTGAAAGCGCGTTCTATCAACGTCCATCTCCTGATGGTGCAGCCAGACGTCATCTTAGGCAGACTGCTATTACCAATCACCTAGTTTTTCTGCGAGACCCGCCACGAGTGCAGCATTTCAGCAGCATTAAGGTCGAATAAAAACCGCTGACCGGGCTCTTGGGCTTTCACACTTGGGCCGGCGCCAGCCCGTCATCCGATCCGGGCCAGCTTCCGGGCCTCCGTTGACAGCAAGCCCCAGCGCCGCTCACAGGATTGCGACCTTTCAGCATCCATGTCCGGTAACGAAGGTGCCGCTGAAGCGCCAAGCGACATCCTCCCGCGCTTCTGGCCTCCCCAGCCCACTATCGGATCTCCCTGTCTCACCGCCAGTGATCTCGATGGTCAAAAAAGCAATGTTGTCTGCACCCCTGGCTGGATTGCAAGGGCATCCTATTGCACCTTGCCTGTTCCGCGCATGGCCTTTTCAGCGGCACATTGGGTTTACATAGTACGACTGCAATTTACAAGTGAGCATTCGGTTCAACTTGCCCATGATCTGATCTGATCTTACGAGGTCCCTGACGAAAGGACTTCGCATATCCTTTCGGCCGATAAGCCGACTAACTGTTCAAAATGGTCATGGGCGAAAACCCACATTCCCTTGATGCTTAATTAAAATTGAAATGCTAATCCTGACCCTCTCCGCATCGGTTCCGGGTACTGTTGCCATCCGGTTCGGACATGCCTCGGTTCACCAACTTCGTGCCGCGTCTCTGTCACCTAGGAGTCCAGACAACGTCGCTAACCCATGCATTCCCCATGGCTTGGGCAAATGCTGAGCAAAAAGTCAAAAAAGCATAGAGTCGTGTGTTGACGGTCATTGAGTCTGAAGCTGTTGGCATGCCATCAGCTGGGATGTCCATGCCTAAACAGCATCTGATAAGCAAGTTTGGCTTGTAAACGGTGCTTGGCAATGAGAGCCTCATGTCGCCCTGCCCCGTTCGGACCCCGCCTCACCTATTCCAACGATGGAAGCTGTCTTGCTTCTGTCGTGGGGGTTCTGGGGGGAGTCAAGGCGTTTCTCGATCTGTGGACCTTCTTTGTAACCCCCAGCCTTTGGCAGGGGCGACGAGCCAGGGACAGAGCGGACTTGCACTCCTCGCCCGTCAAGGCTGACGGGGAATTACTGGCGGAAATGTGTGTGAGACACCACATGCCTGTGCTACCCTGCGGCACGCAAGTGCAAACCGATTTTTGAATTAGAATTCTTACGTCCGGATCGTGTCGGTGCCAGCCTGGCATGGTTGCAACTGGTATCTTGTTGCCTCGTACCGTGCTCGCGCTGCCTCTGTCGGGTCAGCAGGATCAACAAGCCTTGTGGCTTACTGGCTCGGGATGTCATATTACCTGGGTCAAGATGTTGGTGGTAGGACTTGCCCTGCAGGCTGGGGACTATCGATAGGGCCACGCATGGCATCTCAACCTCGCGAACCTCCAGGCCAACGTTACCGAGTCAGTATTTCTTGGGACGTTTGCGGGCCAAGGAGCTTTCCCGCTTGCTAGAAATCTTGCCATGCTCACCAGTGACCAGTCTACTACACAAGGGAATTACTTTCCGCCATCCATGCCACACTGAGACTTGCTTCATCCCATAGACGACTCAAGATAATGAGCTTCAAAGCGGCTAGTTGCCTCTTCGTGTCCATACGTGATGAGCCTAGGGCAGGGCAGGAACGGCGAGCGGTCGTTTACATCTTGGGAACCGTAGCAAATGGAAAGGTAAGCGACGACGAAGCGTAACGTACCGTGTACGTGCGATACAAATTCGTTGAGACGGGTATTTAAGACCACTAACCTGTCCAGCCTGGAGTGACGAGAGTCGGCCCCAATCGTAGTGTTGTCGGACCAGGAGGGCGAAATGTTTTTTTGAGCTTCTTGGAGAACATGTCGGTAAGCACAGCACGAACAATGAAAGTCAAGATACTTATGACACGACATCTTTTCGGGTTGTTCGACACGTATCATTCTGAATAACAGGGAGACAACGAGGGATCAGAACACTTACTATTGACGTGGGGTTTTAGAGTTTAAGCAATGCTACTGCTGGCCAGACGGACTGCAGGACCTCGAGTTTTGAGCTTTTTGCATCTGGCGGGGAAGAGGTACCCGCTGCCTTACAGATTGCCGTTGATTTACGATAGAAGATGGGGCATATTAAGTACCCTAAGGTAGGTTAGCGTCCTAAATGTGACACTGATTTTGCGAGCTGGCTGGTGAGTTCCCATATAAGGGCCTTTGGGACGCCCTTCAGATCTAGAAACGACGCAACAGATGGAAGAAGATCCTGATCAACATGGATATCCAAAGACAAGAAACGAGCTTGGAAGTACGTCCGCTAGATGAAGATATGGCTGACTGCCAAGAAGATCGCAGGGGAAAGAATGGTCATATTCCCTGTTCGTCTCCGGCCTCATTGGAATATTCGACCAGATTTGCGACCAATATACAGACCAATCACTGCCGTCGATGCCCAACGACTTGCCATCTTGAAAGGTGTGATGAGATTCCGCGTTGGTTATCGATGCTACTTTCAGGTAAAGCGTTGACTTTAATCGACACATTTGCCTACTTGAATCTGGAAGATGGTTCCGCTTTATACAGTAGCTAGATGCTTTAGACTTGCAGGCTTGAAAGACCACCACACTCATATTAATTGAGATCTCATGAGTATCATCAAGGTGAGATAGTCACAATGAGAACCTCCGCGTCTGTGGTATAGTCGCCATTTTCACATATTGACACGTTCGTGCCTTGTGGTAAGATAATTGGCATGGTGTTTGAAAGCAAATGCTCAAAGACTCCGTATTTGCAAGTGCTCGCCGCCTCGCATTATGCCCAGAGTGTACTCTCAAGATGACATGAATACCTTACGCCAAGAGCGGTTCGTGTACCCGAGGCATGGCTTCAAGCCTCCATCTCGCAGTCATGATCCGCTCGCTACAGACACCCGCGCAGTGTCATACCTCCGACAAGATGGTGATCTATTACTTCTGTAGTGCAAATGAGGAAGTTTCATAGCCCACCCTATAAGAGAGTTCACAGTAGATAAATCCAGTAAGAGCACTTGGGCCGGTGCTTCGTCCAGCTTGGACGAAAGCATAAATGAGTGACGACAAAGATTTCGAGAAACCCAACATTAAAGGGTTTCAGGAATATCTGCCTGCAAGTTACTGTTCACGATAACATACGTAGCAGTATTCACAAAGGAATAGGCACAGGAAGATGAAGACCAGAACAGGAGTCTATTGCTGCTTGAGCAGCCGAGACTATCGGTAACTATCCTGGGACAGAGGCCCGCAACGATCTCTGTCCCCTCTCAGTGTCTCATCATCGCAGTCGTCGTCGTCCCTCGTCGTGGTGGGGGAGGCGGAAGGACAGAACACCCCCTTCAGAAGGCGTGGTACTCATTGGCCCGCTCCTCGACACCCCTCATATACTCCTCCTCCGTCTGGGGAGGGGGAGGAGGAGGAGAGGGGCCCCGAGGATAGGCGGGGGACAAGGCTCGGGCGCGAGCGAGGTCCTCCTCGGTGAGGGAGGGGGGCGGCGGCAGACGAGCGCCATGGGGGAGGGCGCGGAGGCGGCCGGCGGGGTCCTAGGAGCACGGGTATTAGTATGTATGAAAGAAAGACGACGCCGAGAGACGGCGCCGCACGACAGGAAAGAGGTCACTTACAACCCAGCCACGACCGACGCCAATGCGCTCGCGGAGGCGAGTGGCCTGGGCGGACAGCTCGTCCGCGGAGTAGCCGCCAGGGCGAGAGGTGTCGGAGGTGGCACGGCGGCGACCCTCCTAAGGAGGCCTACCGTAGCCACCTCCGAGGAGGTCGTCGTCGCTGCCGCTGCCGCTGCCGCTGGCAGTGTCGCCAACGGTGCGGCGGCGGTGGACGCGGTTGCGCTCAGCAGCGCCAGGGATGGCGATGGGAGAGCTGGCGCGGGGGAGGGGGCTGGCGGCGCGGCGGACGGCGGGGGCCGAGGCAGGGGCCTCGTCGAAGGTGGCGCGCAGGGGGGTAGCAGCGGCGGCGGGGGAGGAGGCGGCAGACCCGTAGGAGGGGGTGCGGGCCGGGGAAGGACGAAGACGGACGCCAGCGAGGACGCGGCTGCGGGCGGTGGTGAGGGCGGGCGAGAGGGGACCAACGGGGAGGGCGGCAGAGGAGGAGGAGGAAGGGCTGGCGGGGACGGGGGTGGTGGCGGCGCGGGCACGGCGACGACCACGCTCCTCGAGGGAGGGGGAGGAGGAGGCCTCGCCGCTGTTCTGTATCGTCGTCGTCGTCAGTCTTCGTCCATAGAGTAATCGAGAGGGTCTGGTACGTACGGAGGCGGGGGCGTCGTAGGCAGGGCCGCGGGACATGGTGGGCGAGGGTGGTGGTATTTATCTGCTTTTGCGGTTAGATGGCTTCCTCAGTAGAGCAGTAGGGGTCGAATTACCTGAGGTTCTTAGAGAAGGTGAAGGACGATGCTGGACGCTAAAGACGACAAGGACGGCGCTGAAATCCAAAGACGGACGACGACGAAAGCCAAAGATGAAGAAAGTCAATGACGATGAAGGCCAGAGTCGAAGAAAGCCAGAGATGACGAAAGCCGGAGGCGACGAGAGCCAAAGACGACGAGAGCAAGAGACCAAGAAAGCCAAGGACGACAAGAAAGGCAAGGATAGAGCTCAAAGATGGTGATGGACGAAAAAGCAGGCCTCAGCAAAATCGCGAGAAAGTGGTCCGAAGGAGAAAGAAGACAAAAATGAGAGCCAGGAGAAAACAAAACAGAAATCTCTTGAAGGACCTCTGTTTGGCGTGGAGCATGATTATGTCGTTAGGGCAAGGCACTCTGATTCAAGCCGCAAGAGGAGGGCTGCGGCTGAGCAGCTATGATGTTACCCTGCTATCGTGGTCTTGTGGTGTTGAGCGGGCGAGGGGATCTAACTGGTGGTTACTTGGAAGGCTACAAAGAAGGAAGGAGTCCAGATCAAGGTAAAAGAGGGCGGAGGTGTCCAAATAAAAAGCATCCGATTGACCTTCTTGTCTATAGGTATCTTTGAGGTATCATGGAGGATATCCTGTCTTAAGACTCCCATACCTTGAGCTCCTATTACATACTCCATCCATATCCTCATACCAACCCGAGGATTGCTGATTTGCCTGCTTCGCCGCAATTCGGAGGTGAAAGAGATACTCCAAATTGAATAACTTTGAAAAACCAGCCGTAAGACGCCCTTAAAACCCCTCTGTCCTTCTTATCACGCCTCAACTCCTGTCATAGCACTTCCTCCACATGCCTCGCATTCCCCTGACTCGGTGAGCTTGGGCGTCTTGCAGCCGTTGGGGTCTTTCTTGTGCTGCTCCTCGCGGTCCTCCCGTCTCTTCCGCTTGGCAAATGCTTGCTGGTTCTGCTCGTAGGCAATCTTTCCGATGGCATCCATGTGCTTCTGGACAAACTGCTCGACTCTATCGACATTCCACCTGCCGGATCTGTCCTTGAGTGGCTCCTCTGGAACGATACCACCGTAGCTGTCGTTGCCCTCGAATATGATTCTCTTCAGAGCTTTGGTCTGACAGCCGCGGTACTGGCACTGTCTGAGGTCCGCGGTGTCGATAGCGGGGATCCAACTGCTTTTGAGCTTTGCCATGATGGTTAGGATATCCTGATCGTTGAGAAAGTCGGTGTGCCGTGTCTCGAATACCTCCTTCACGCCTGGGAATCTCTCAAAAGCCTCCGCGCGAACCGACATGATGGTTCCTGGGACCTGAGTAAACCGACCCTCCTTTCGGCACTGGGGGATGAACTTGTTGATGAAGTCGCTGTAGGCTTGTCGGGATGTCATGCGCTTCCTGTCGCTGTGGTTCAGCTTCTTCTTGCTCGGCTCAGGTGTCTGTACGTCGGCAGTGGCAGTAGGAGTCCGCGTTAAGGGCGTAGCTGGCAATACCGAGGCTTGACTTCTTGAAGAGGGAACAGAACTGGCGGGCGTAGAAGGTGGAATTGAGCTCGAGCTTGCGGGAGACTTGATCGACGTTGTGGTTGAGGGTGAGGCAGTCCGCGTAGGAGTAGCGGGTGCTGCTGGCGATGACCGGCCCGAGAGAGGAAGAGAGCAGAAAAAGCGGCATGTGGCGGCGTACTCATACATATCTTCAAGCGATTCGAACGTCGAGTCCCAGATGTAGCTGTCGGCAGCCAAGCCAAGGAAGCTGAGGATTTCGTAAGGATCTTCTGTGAGAAGTACCCTGGCCCTCTTCTTGTCGAACTTCTCCATCTCGACGATACGCACCCAAAGAGACTCTTCATCTACCGTGAGGCCGTATGGTCGGATGATAGTGCCGAGAATGCTCCAAAGGTCTCCATGAGCGTGCTTAAAAAGCTTCCAATGCACCTGCTCCAAGTTGTCGCAAATGGCGATGTCAATCTGGCAGTATCGCTCGGGAGATGAGGTCGAGGTGGCGTCCCTCCCTGCCAAAGGGCCGGTATCAGGCCATCGAACGGCGTAGTGGTCGGTCTGCTTCTCGATTTTGAGAAATGGTGCCCCTATAGCTTCTTGAATGGCCTTGCAGGCGTCCTTCTTCCCGTCTTTTCCAAAGGGCGGGTAATCTAAATGGGAGTCCCCCAGTACGATGGATCTCTCCAAGGCAACCAGGATGTCGATATCACCGTAGTCTTTCTTGGCCGGACCTTCGATGGGGCTGGCGACGCAGAGGTAAATCTTTCTAAGGGCAGCGTGGCACTCGGCCTTGACGCGCTCGTAGACCTCGTGAGGCATTCGAGGGGTGTTGAGAGGCTTGTCGCCCGCCGTAAAGACGGAGCCGCCCATGTTTGCAGAAGTTGAAGAGAAACAACGATGATGTGAGGTTGTGGCGGTATTCTTTGGTTTGAAGCGAAAGAAACGTACAATTTGAGCGCAAACGCCGAAAGGGGACGTAGGATCGGAGGTGATTAAGAGAAACCGTGAGTCAAACGGCCAAACGGACGCCTGCCTTGGACTCTTCAAAGGCAGCAGCGCCAGCATGTAGGTTCGCGAAGAACGGAAGGAACAAGGCCAAGCCGCCGTGTATTTCCCACAAGAAGGAGCATCAAAGCAGGCAGGGAAGACTCCACGCAAGGCAACAGGACCTCGAAGTAGCAGTACCTACCTTGCAGAGATCGATGCAACTAATGAGGCTTTGGCTGGCCTTCAAGGCCTTTCAAGACACCGAAGGTAAATATTTATTATTTATTCGATGCGATTCGCAGTTTTCTGTCGAAAACCAAGCAAGGCATCCCTAGAATGATGGAGAATGATGGGGGCAGACTCGGCAGGTTGGCTCCAAATTCCGCTTCTTCAGCAATCATGGCGGGGTTCAATTGGGCGTGTGTATTTCGTTTCGGCACTGTGTAAATCAACCCCATCGACCCCATCGACCCCATCACCCCCCGTTTGGATTTAATTCAGGTTTGATCCAGGGTGGATGAGCTGCTCAGAGTGTTCTTGATAAGGTACTAGACAGCCTGCGACTTTGATGACAGAGATTGAACTGGCAACGCCGTTCTCCAGGCACAAAATCACAGTGACGCCAGTTTGGTAAGATTGGACAAGCAATCAAGTAAAATTTTCTACTTCCACATGCTTGAGAGGACGCTGTTACTGTTATTGAGTCCGTGGTGTCTTTTCTTCGGGATTTGAGAAGATCCGAGATGGCCCCGGAGCAGGTTCGGTCTAAAGTGGGGCGACAACCGGCCCAGCTCCGCCCCAGTCCGGAAGCCTCCGAGAAGGTGTGTGTTGCTCTGCACCAGCTTAATCGGACTGCACTAAACCGAAAGTGACGCAAATATCATGAGGTGCACCAATTGAGGCAGCGCAGCTACCTGTCCACCTGCCCTTTGGCAGCCTTTGAGTTTCTTGCAATAAGGGAAAGAGCCGGCCAGAGGGTTCCAGGCCAGGAATATTTTCGCCAGGCGCGTCGAGGCTTCCACTTCCTTCCCACAACTCTCCTCCTCCATCAACACTTCGGTCAAGCCACAGGCCGCCTCTTCTTTCCATCTACCTCTCGACCTACACTGCGCAGGACCCTTGTCAGGCCTGAATCCCCTCTTCCGTCGGGTTTCAACCGTCCTATCGACTCTCGTCGCCTCAAGGCTCATTTTTTTCTTCGTCGTCGAATCACCAGCCCAAAATCAGCCGTTCGAACCACCAGTCATCATATCTCATGTGGGTAACTGCTCAACCCAACGCGCTGGCACTACTAACGACCGAGCAGTTCCAACTGTATCCCCCTCTCCTCCGCCCTGCCCAACTTTCGGCTCTTCGCACACGACGTCTTAGCTGTCCGCATCTTACGAATATCTATCCGAATCTTAGACGAAAAGACCAGTCTCAGCGACAATAGATACCCCGAAACTCGCAGTTTTGGAGTCCGCGCCTATCATGGCCGACTTCATAGACTTGAGACCCAACGCGGTCAATATGGCAGCGGTCGCCAATGGAATAGCCACCGCCAGAATTGGAAATCCTGTGGTTGATTTGTAAGTTCAGTGAGCTCTTCGGCTCTTCCCTTCTCAGCTACTGACAGAAGTCAGGCACGTCGACGACTACGTTCACCTACACTGTGGCAGCAAGGTATTCATTGTCTTTCGCGACATCATCGTTGCGGGTTCGATGTATTTCGAATGCTGCCTCTTCGGCTTCTTCAATGAGACCCGTGACCAAACGATCTTCTTCGAAGACGTGGATGTCGAAGCCCTCGAATTCTACCTCAACATTGCGCACGGTTGGTTCTTCGAAATGAAGGTTCGTGGCGTCAGGGTTGTGCCTCCCAGAGTCTTCGACGACCAAATCAACGCCCTCATGCAAGATCCTTGGATGGAAAGCCGGCTGGAGATTCCCCAAATGAAGCTTGCCACAATGGCCAAGACGGTCATTCTGGGCGATCGTTTTGTTCACCGCCCTCTTCTTTCTATCTTGAGACACATGTTCGTCTCTCTCCTCGAAGTCACCCAAGACTGTTGGAACAAGCTCAAGAACAAAACCCGCGACTGGGAAGAGGTGTGGCATTCTGAATTCATGCTGGACTTCATTGAGGCGTTCGATCTGCTCTCGACAGGACATGACGATGAGAAGCTCTTCAGAGACTCCCTCACCGAGACATTCTACTGGTTCAGCCGCCCCGTCACTGGCCTTATTGACTACTTTGGGCCCATCCTGCCTTCTGAGTTCTTCCAAGAACTGCACTTGGAAAGAGACGAGCAAGACAGGATGCGCAAGCGACAGCACGCCTGGGGAATCTCTACGACAGACCAAATGATGTACGCGGCTAAGACTCGCCAGCAAAAAGATCGAAGATTCAAGCGTGTTGTGGACCTCTGCTGTCCTAAGCCGTGTGGCGAGTGGCTGCCTTGGTTTCATCATCCCGAGGAGATCAGAATCAGGAAGATCTATCTTGATGACTCCGCCAAGGCTCGATTCCCACGTCCTTCGGCAATCCGCTCAGGCGCACGCTCTTTTGTCCCCGGCGCTGCTACCCACGGTGTCTCTACTTCGGAACCTGTCGCTCCCAAGACTCTGCGTCAGGAAGCTCAAAGCATCGGCAGAGACTCTCATCTTGGCAACAATCAAAGACCTAACAGCCGCCGGAATCGCAAGCCGCGTGGGGGGAAGGGCTTCCGTGGCAGCCTTCGCGCCGCAGAAGCGAGCTTTTCATCGCCTGACAACGGCTACTGTGGCAACGCGTTCGAGATCGGAGTTCCAACTGAACCCCAGCTGTCCGACACATCCACAGTTATTGATGAGCCACTTCCAGCCAGTGATGCGAGCAACATCCACAACGCCTCAGAAAATCCCATCGGCAACCAGTCTGCTTGGTCCCACGGGCAAGCCAGCCACGCAAATTTGGAAGCAGATGGCATATCTGGAAAGAAGAAGAACAAGCGGCGAAACAAGAAAAAGAAGCAGCAGTATCAAGGAGATTCGGCTGAGCAGGACAACAATTCACAGCAGGTCAGTCAAGCTTACCTGCAGCCACCTTCCGGTCCCCAGGTCAGTGAAAAGTCTGCCCTGCCGTCGGGTCATGGCACTAGCGGATCTGGCCATCTCGGAAGAGCCGAGCAAAACAAGCGCGTCAATGGAAAGCGCGGGCGAGGTGGCGCCGGACTGCAGCATATGAGCAGACGCGAGCCTGCGCCCTCGAACGAGCCTCAAGCGTCTGCAATCACAGGCAGGAACGGCAATGCTGCAGGCCTCGCAGAACAAGTTGGCACTAGGGGCCGTGGCTGGGGCAGGCGCCGTGGAAATGGACGCGGAGGGCCGTCAAACCCGGGTTGGAACCCCATCCCGATGGCCTCAGACGTCTAGTGTGTCCATCGAAAATCGACAAACAAGGCAACTGTATCTGGCTATGAAGAGTCTTGAATGTCTCAGAGTTAAAATACTCGAGCTCATCAGAATTGGCTCTCATGGTGGTCAAATTAACGAGTTGAGGCCATCGAACTCGCTTTTGCTTCAATTTGTCACACGCCAACCGTGCTGTGACGTCAAAGATCGCTTTCGACCTTTCTCGGAGAGTGTTTTCTACTCTCCACTTGCTTTCATGGGCTCCGACTGGGGTCAAATTTGGTACGTGGTTTCGGATTGTGTATAGAAGGGCGGCTCAGTCTTCTCAGAGTCAGATTTGATGTATCAGCCATAACTTTGCGTCGAATGGAAACGGGATCTTTCAGGTATTCAGCTCCAAGGTCACACGAGGTTTGGGTTTCCTAGACAAGGTAGATTTCATAGTACAAGGAAAGATTCACAACAATGACACACATGCTATTCTTTTGTGATTCTGGCTCTGGCCCTGGCAACAGATGGTACGTGCAACCTTTGGCTGACCAGAGCCATCTGGCTGGCATCTTCATTCTCATGCCATCGTTAAACCATTCTACTCCGAATGCAGGTGTTTGCGGCCAACCGTAACAAGCTTACGAGCCCAAGGGAGAGTCAATACCGAGAAGACAATACTGAGCTCAAAGGCGCTGGGGTAGCAACGGGGAATCCAATTCCGCAATCAATGCCAAAGCCTCCCTTGAAATGAATTGTATGACTTCATCGAAACGACAGAGGCATAGTTAGCGTAGTCGAATTTGATGTAAAAGCTCGATCTCCTGGTCGTTGCCCGAGTCACGTCAGAGTCTTTCAATGAGACGACCACTCGAACAGATATTGAGCCATCGAGAACACGTCTTCCACCTCCTCATTTGAACGAGCCCTTGCAGAACGTTGAACAGTATTTTTCAGAAAGCCTGCAACATGCTTCCTCCATCACTGGGCAGCACTTATCGCGAGTACAAGCGCGACACTGACTTGCTGGCTTCATGGCTCGCTCTGACTGCTCGGTCTCACGGATACAATGGTGACTTGGCCTCTGCTGGTAATGAGACCGTAGACATATCGAAGGCAGAGATGCAGACCGACAAGGAGGATTATAAAGAACGGCCATCGAGATACAAAGTGGCCATTCGAAACTTCGTGCCCCTGGCTGAGTCCATCGCCTCGACCAAGCCAGCGATCAGCACCCCTCCGTCCATCGTGAACACGATCAACAGGGTCATCACCGCCCGATCGGATTTCGCCTCAAAGGTGAAGGAATTAAGTGGCCTGGATGCCCACGCTGTCGAAGCGCATGCGTATTTCGTGGGGATTCTCGAAAAGGTCCAAGATATACTAGTTCCCAAGGATTTGGCGAAGACCCGGCAGCTTGTTGCGTCATCAGACGACGAGACTACAAACCTGTTTGCTGCTCTGAACTTCGAGAATCCTTCAACCGACTTCCTGAACGCTCCAAATATCGACAAACCCGTGTCCAAGGCGGCCCCGGCGGCCCCGGCGTCTCACGCACCAAAGTACGAAGCGGAAACCTCAGACGAGCTCAACACCCTGGACGCGATCATCATATTCGCCTTGATGGCAAGCGATCTCGCAAGGGTTCGTGTAGTAATTATCGACACCTGGGGCAGAAATGCCCGCGGAGAACTCACCCTGTCTGCGGCTGCGCTCACCACATCAGCTGCCGTTGATCTCGCGAATCACGCTGTCAAGGATGTTCTCCCCATCTTTGAAGCTCAAGGAGGTGTTTGGGAGGTAGCTCAGCAGTTCGTTGCCCTCGTCTGTGCTAAGAACGGCCTCGATGCAGAAACCCTCAGTTACAGCCAAGGCACGACGCTCATGTCCGAAGACATGTACACGACGTATGACCGCTCCCTACTTTGTGTGTACGCAACCCTTGACGCCTGTCTTCAGTCAATGAAGAAGGGAAAGGACCTGGACGTCCCCGTATTTTCGGGCGCGAAGTCGCTCGATTGGGTCATGAAAAAGCGTGGACTATCTGGGAGCCAGCGGTTTGAGCAGGACCAAAATGCAGTCATCCGCTTGGTTTCAAACTACCTGATTCTCAGCAATCATGTGACAAAGTCAGAGTGGCCCGTCGAGGATGAGATACTGCGTGGCATCCGGGAGATGAAAGCCACGGGCTCTGTCCCCTTCCATCTTGTTTTTGCAGCGCAGATCCACGTGGACATACAGCAAAACCTAGGTATTCTGACCATGAACCCCTCTCAGAAGATGGTCGAAGAACTCGAAAGCATGAAGGCCAATCTCGAACATGAAATGAGTAGCAAGACCGATTTCGAGCGTTCTCTGCGTGGGACGACGCAGTCGAGCATGTGGCCTGTCGCACGCGACAGAATTGCGAGGGATATGATCGAGATGATGGACAAGCTTCTAAAGGACCCATGCCATCAAGCCAAGCTCCGAATTTCTGGCACACCACCGCAGCAGGTTTCAGAAGCGTCCTTCTTCAGGGACTCTCCCTACATGTCCGGTCTTGTTGTTGCATACTGCCGCAACTACATGAAGGAGGCTGGCATCGATCTTGCCAATTTCTGGGCCACTTTCGTCAGCACTGCACATGTGTACAACGCGGTGAAGCAGCTTGGCCTCCTGCGGAAACCTTGGAGGGACTTGGAGATTGCGCTCTCAAGAGCTGGTCTCGAGAGCAAGCTTTTCACTGGACCACCTCCCACAGACGGAAAAGATTTTTACAGGAAGTACAGTCTGCAGTTGGGATTTTCAGCTGTGAACTTTGCCAATTTGCACAAGAAGAAGGCGGGCAAGGCCAATACCGATGCTGCGGGGACCAAAATCGCACCACAAGCCGAGAAGCGTCTCATCCAGCACGAACACGTTGCTTCAACTTTTACCAGTCTCGTTTCCAAATACTCGTACGACAGGTCAACGACGGAATGGACCGAGTTGCTTGTAAGGAACATTGCCGAAAGCACCACAAGACATGGAGAGACCGTATTTGGCGACCATGGTGCCAACCATTTCAAGAAGATCGCGAGTAAAGTCCAGGGCAAAGAGGAGGCCAAATCCCGACCAAAGCCAAATGAAGAGAACGAAACCGAGGCGGAGAATCGCCTCCGTCCGTGGAATACGGCCATACAGCTCAGAATGGCTCTTCAAGAAGAGTCAGTGGAGTTTGAATTTCCGTATCTTGAGTTCCATCGCTCGGCTCGATCAACGATGGAAGTCATCAAGGGCATCGTAATGGAGGCCCTCCAAGGCTTTCTATCACCGGGTCTGACAGAGGAAGACATTGAAATGCAACTTGCTGTCCAATTATTGTTCAAAAGTTGCGATGCCGATGCCAAAGAGTATGATGGTCTCTTTGCCATGCGGTGTGTTGCCGATCATTTCAACCATCTCATTAAGACGCAAGGCCATCCGGTGGAGGAATACCTCTGTAAGAGGGGCTTCAAGGAGTTCTGCCATGTTGAGCCTGAAAAGGGAGATTTGACTAGATAAGCCTCACTGGAAGCACGCTCGTTGGCTTGTATTGTGAGTATCCCATCGAGTGCTGCATGACGCCAGTACAAGAGTCTGCGGGGTACAGCGAGTCAGATATTATTTCAGCTGATCGACATTTTTTTCCTCAGCGAACTACAAAATTCAGCGAGACAGAAATTGGAGAGATTACGGGTACTCAATGTACTGGCGTCATGCAGCACTTGATGGGATGCAGGAGACTTTTGGATTTGATTTATTGTTTGTCTCGCAGTAAAGGATGATGGGGACAGTTGGGAAGATCGTGTGAAAAGGACATCAAGAAGGACGACAAGGGAGATCCCGAGGAAAATGTAGGCGGTAGAGAGTCATTAAGATAAATCGATACACCGCGACAGTAGAACTCTTATGGAGAAGGTGAAGGATTGGTTGGTTAAGCCACGGGACGGGGGATGCGCCACAGTGTTGAGCCACACCTCAGGGATAAGCCACACACAACTGGCGATGTGGCACACCTGGGGACTCCCACCTTCCCTTGCATCGCACATTATTTTCCTACGTTCATGTCACAACTCACATTCCATCTGCCACTCCACTATCAGCCCCTCCACATGGCAAGATGCTTCCAGCTCCCCTAGTCAGTGTCTACCAGCAGTACAAGCAGGACACTGATTCCGTGGCTTCATGGCTCGCCTCCACAGCCAAGGCCTGCGGCTACCCAGCCGATCTACTGAAGCCGGCTGGGCAAGCGAAAAAAAAGGCCAAACACAAACACAAGAATATTTCGTCTAAGTACATTGTGGCGCTCAAGGACTTTGTCCCGCTCGCCCAATTCATCGCCGGCTCCAAGAAGCCAGTGGTGGACGTCCCGGAATCTTTCGTCACCACCATCAACCGGGTCATCAACGTCCGCTCCTCCTTCAGCAATCGCCTAGCCGAGCAGGGCAAACAGACAGCATTCGAAGTCGAAAAGTCTCACTCTTTCTTCGTCGGGATTCTAGAACAAGTTCGGGAATCTCTGAGGCCTCGCATGCCAACCGCTACTGCGGCATGGTCGGAGTCAAGCTCCTCGTCTTCTGCCGATGCGCTCGCGAACGCATTTGAAGCACTGAAGGTGTACGAGCCTTCAGATGACTTCCTGAAGGCACCAGACATCAAGAGACCTGAGCCCGAGAAGGCCACGGACAAGGTGGTCTATGAAGCCGAGGGAGCCGCATACTCCGATTTCAAAGACGCCATATTCGCCTACTCTATCATGCTGGAAGACCTCCGCAAGATCCGCCTTCAGATCTTGTTTATCTGGCAGAATTACCGCGACGGAGCCTTTGATGTTGCAACTGCCGCCATTGCAACAAACACCGCCGTCGAGCTTGCGCACAACATCGCAGAGGAGGTCATACCTCTGTTCCGATCTCATGGCGGTGTATGGGAGGTCGCTATGGCTTACTACCACGCAGCCGCCCTCGCCAGCGGCTTCAGCAAGGAGAGCATGAACATTTCAGATGGAGGAAGGGACAACAGAACGGCTTTCAACGTCAAGACGTACGACGTCGCGAACAACACGTACATCAACATCTACCGCTTCCTGGAAGGCTTCCAGGCGGTGTTAAGACCCAATGTGCTGCCGCTTTTCAAGCAAGGCGTCTTTGGAACGTACGATCCCACCAGCAACCTGAAGACGAAGTCTCCCGAGGAGAAGTTTCAAGAGGATCAGGTCATCATGATGGAGGTTTTCGGGGAACTCATGACAATCATTCGAACTGTGCCAAATTGGCCAGTAGAAGACGAGTTCCTCCAAGGTATGCGAGAAATGGATGAGACGAAGAAGATTCCATTTTACCTTGTCTTCGCCGCCCAAACATACCTTGACATCCATCACATTCTAAGGGACGACGTGGAGAGAGGATTTTTCCAAATGAGCGACGAAACCAGCATCATGCGCAACAATCTGAAAAGCCATCTTGAATTCCATCAAAGTCTCAAGATCGATGGCTGGACAGCCAAGCACGACCGGGCTCTGAAAGACACAGAGTCCGTCATTGGATGGCTCGGTACTGATCCAATCCATCAGGTCAAAAACGATTATGCGCGGAGTCATGGCATACCTCTCTTACCTGACACCAAGAAGTGCTACCTTCTCAGGCAGTCGCCCGTCATGTCTGGTCTGATTCTGCACCACTTCCGGCTTGATCTTTACGACATTGGGATTGCCGTAGCCAATGCTTGGGGATCCATCACATACATGGAACACCTCTACAATGCCGTGGAAAAAGAAGGTCTTCTCGAAGGACCATGGGAAGATATGGATTTTATGCGGATCCTCGTGGGCCAGGATGGTTTCTACGTCGGCGGAGCCCCGTCCGCGCCAGAGGACTATTACAAGAAGTTCTGCCTTCAAATGGGCGTATCTGCTGCAACTCTTGCGAACCGCAGCAAGAGACGGGCTAAGATAGACCTCGAGTCTCGCGCCGGACCTCGCGCCATCAAGAGAGGAGCTCCCGTATCCATCATGTTCCAAAATCGATTTACCCGACGCGGATCTGGCATGGTGTGGACCACTGAGCTCGTCGACAACGTGCTGTCGCGTAGCGAATGGGAGGAAGAACACGATGGCGATCAAATCGTCAGCATGGCTCGAGTCATAGACCCGAAGAGGCTGACTGAAATCCGAAAGGGCAAGAACAAGAAGTTGGCAGAGGACGGAGGACGTTTGCCACCGGAAAAGCTGATCAGATCTCTTCTCTTCGCGCTGCAGAGTGAGATTATGGAGGTTGCTTTTCCGTACCTACTGATGCATCGGTGGTGTTGGATGGTGCTTCGGAGTCTTAAGGAGCAATGTGACCCCTTATTGAGGGAGCTCTTCACACCGGCGTACATCGATTGTGAGAATCAACTGCCGTTTGTCGTCGGCTGGGTTCTCGCAGCGATGAATAGTTCCGGTGAAGTACTACAGGATCGTCGGTTGTTGGAGTCGGCTGCGGTCGTCTTGAATACTTTCTTATCTGCTGGAGCTGCAGGAAGCATATGCAGCTCGGTCCTGGAGAAGATCGGGATCCATGTACAAGTCGAGGACGATGATGACTCTGAGTAATATGTGGAAGGGGTTTAGCAGATCCCATAAGGGTTTGAGTAAGACTAAGAGCGAATGAAAAAGACACCAATGGGGTTCATGTATTTTCAACTGCTTCCTGATTTGACATCTGTGATCGCAAGCTGTTCACAGGGTACTCTCAGTGGACGACCGACCATATTCGCGTTCAAGGCAGACGTCCGATTAGGTGGTGTTGGCACCGTAGGAATTGAGGCTGGAAACAAAAAGCCAAATGTTGAGTAAATCTTAATCTCAGTCACAAGGAAGACAAGAGGGATGAAAGATCTTGAAATGGAGAATAGATCCGACTTCAATCAGTTTCAATGCTTGGCTTCCCGTTCACCCAACCGCGTTAGTCCTTGCACTCTGATGCTGCCGCCCTCTTGGCTTTGTTGGGGTATGCAGATCTATCTGGACAAACGACTCTGGCAAGACGATCACCAGCAGTAGGCTCCAGGAGCCCCCTTACTCTTGCAGCAATCGTTGAAAGCACCGGAGTTGAGACAGTTGCCAACACCAGTACACTGTCACGGAGGTCAGCACAGAAACCAAGAATGGTCACATGGCTATTTTCCAAAGAGCCGAAGTAATGAACCTGGTTGTTGGGGCCGGGAAAGTTGGGTGCAAAGAAACAACCGGCATTGACATCTCCGTTGCAACATTGCTTGGTCAGGCCATTCCACTGAGGGCCTTTACCGCTTGGGTCCTGGCATTTGCAGTTCTTGCCAGCAAATGCACCTGTGATTCAGACTTAGTGCCCGGGGGGGCCTTCATCAAAATGAGGAGTCTCAAGTAAAGAATTCGTCGTACCAGACATGGTGGCGGCAAGCATGAAAATCTGGGCAAAGCGCATGTTGACGGAATGGCAGATGAGTCAAAAGTAGCGAAGTTTAATGGTGCTTGGAAGCAATCTAGAGGTGATAAAAGTGCAGAGAGGGATAAAATACTGTGGGTGAACACATGATTCTTATAGATCTGAGCAGCGCTGCCGCAAGTGCAATCAAGTCAATTTTGCCCCCTATACTTGTTAACTTAGTGATCTTTTTCCTAGGCTTTAATTATTAGCTAACTTATAAGTATAGCAAGTTAAATATTATAGTAAACGATGTTATCACTACTTCTTAATTAGGTAATAAGTAAATAAAGTTATAATGCCCTTAATAACTTAAAGTAATTCTGAGGTATTATTACTCCCCTCTTTAGCTAGTTCTTATTTAGTGCAACGGGGCAAGGGAGAAAACTCATCGATCGTGCTAGGCACTCCACTCTAGGCGAAAACCCCCTAAAAATGCCTAAATACTTATATATCGATTTTCTAGATAACTATAAGAGATATAAAAGTGAATATATAAATATAAGCCTAACTAACTTATACTTTATCTATATTTTCTACTCTTATTATACTTTAGGTTATATAATCTTATAAGAGAAAATAGGTTACTAAGAAGAAGTTTAGTAATATTATCTCTATAGTATTCTACCCTCTCTTTATTTTAAATAATTAAGGAGGTATAGTAGGGATTGAAAAAGAGGATAAAAGTAGGGCTAACTAAAACTAAAAGGGCCTAAAAACACCTATTTTTATTTAATTTTTAAAAAGTAAGAATTATTAAATTTTTTTTATAGGCTAAGCTAAAAAGTCCTAAAAACTCTTCTAGAGGGATAGTTACTAAAGTTATTAAGAAAAATAGAAAAAGTATAAAAACGAGTGTGTTTCTTATTTATCTACTTAGTCTTTTTTATTATAAGTTAACTAAGCCTCTATCTACTTATATAAGTTATTTCCTTCTATAATAACACCTAATACCTATAAAGTTACCTATCTAACCTCTTACTTTTAAATTAAAATTACTAAAAATTCTAAGTTCTCTACCCCCTTCTATATATCCCTTAAGTCTTTTATATATTAAAGAGAGGAAGACTTAATTAACCTTACTTTATATACTTAATTTATTTTTTAGTTTTTAACCTATACCCTCTACTATCTTAGCTAGTAGCTAGTCTCTCTACTAATTCTTTTTTAATATAAGTTTAATTATAATCTTCCTTTTAGATTTCTTTAGCTTACTATATACTAAGTACTATCTATCCTTTTAGTATAGTTAGAATTAAGAAGGTATTCTAAAGTTATATAGCCTAAGTTATATCTTTAATTAGGTTATCTTAAGTAATAAGAAATTACTTTAAAGTTAAGTTACTAGGTCTATTTACCTTAAATAACTTAAGCTTCCTAACTCTTCTCTTAATCTTTATATAGTAGAGTTCTCTTTATTTATTCTCTATTTTAACCTATATATCTTTAATTTTATTTAACACTTCCCTAAAGTAGTTTTTTCTTTTTATAGTAATAATAAAAGTTATAGGATTAAGGTTATTATTATAGATTATATCTTCTATCCTATTAGTTTCCTTTAGAAGGACTAAGTCTTCTACTTTAACCCTAATTAACTTTTAAGTAACTAATATCTAGTTAGATATAGCCTCTTTAAAGTTTATATTTCCCCTATCTTCTTATTATTCTTCTTACCCTTTTCCTTTTAAAGTCTTTAACTAGTTTTTAAATCTAGTTTTAAGTTTTAGCTTTAAGCTTTTAAGTGAGGTATAAGGGCTAAATTCTTTAGTAATAAGCCTAACTTAGTAGTTAAAAAGGTTCTTATAAAGATTTAGGTTAACTTCTTAGGTTTTAGTAGTAATTTTTAAATATAAAGCCTTAATATTAAAGATACCTTATTAGATAATATATTTAATAAAGTCTATAGTATAGAGGCTATACTTCTATAAGTCCTCTTCTAATTTAATTTAGAGTTATAGAATAATAAAAGAAGTGCAATTAATAAGTTTCTAAATCTCTACTAGTACTTTATAGATTCTATACTAATTATAAACTAGCTTAACTATAGTCTTAAAAGAGGTTTCTAACTTACTTAGGTTACTATTATTAGTAATATCCTATATGCTATCTAAGTAGAAGTATAAGCTATTTCTTTAATTAACAATCAGACTTATATACTTTCCTCTACTATTATATCGCAAAAAGACGATAAAATTATATAAAATAAGCTTATTAGCTAGAACCTTATAATACTTTACTTTAAGGTTATTATAGAAGGGGACTTAGATAATAAGAACCCTTATATATTATTCTTTAATTATATCTCTAATAGTTAGGTTATAAGCTACCTCAATATAGCTTTCTAAGAGGGGATCATCTTAATATAGGAACTTAGATATATTATAGAGGTTAAGAAGAACCTTTACTTATATACCTTATTCCTAAACTCCCTAAGTTAAGTTTTTACTATTATTATAAGAGAATCCACCCTACTAATATCTAGTTAGGGTTATATTAGTGAGGTTATTATTAATTTATATCTATTTAGGCGCTAAAAAGGACCTATTTTAACTAAGCTTAGGTACTCTATAGGGCTTATAAGGCGTAATAAGGGACTTAATAGGCTTTATTATCTTAAAGATAATCCTAAGGAGTTTTTTATTAGATTATATAAGCTAGATATATTTAGTCTTACTTAGCTTAGTATTTACTATACTAAAGTAATTAAGATAAAAATTAAGAGGCTAAAAGGGTTATTCTCTTTATAAGGGTAGAGTAACTATATCTATTACCTATAGAGTCTTACCTTAAGAAACTAATTAGTTTTTATAAAGGTATATAACGTAAATTATAAGCTTTTATTTAATTCTATTAAACTAATTAATATCTTATATAGTTTTATAAGCCTTTTAGGACTTAAGATTATAGTCTCTAGAGGAGAGAGATTAAGGGGTAATAAAAGTAGTTTAGTGAGATATTATATAAAGTTTTATAGTAGTCTAGAGGAAGGATTATTAAGTAATAAGTATATAAAATTAAATAAATAAACTTATATTACTACTTATTTAGGTTATAGTAATTAGATATTTTAAAAGGAAGGGAAGAATTAAGAAAATAGATTTATAGTAGGTGAGAGGAGGTTAATTATAATATTAATAATTTTTATTAAAAGTTAATAAGAGTAAGTAAAAAGAAAAAAGGTATAATTTTTAAGTTATATAAATAATAGTTAGACTTAGTTAAAATAGTAGTTAAATATAAAAGTACCTATTAAGGTAGGGTAGTTATTATATATATAAATATATAAAGATATTTAGTAGAGGGTTAGTAGGTTAAAGTACCCCCTTTTATAAGTGTTATTAAGGTGAATTTAGTATTAGTAGTTAATACTCCTTCTAAAAATATAATTTTTAAATGAGGAAGGAGCTAATTAAGTATATAAAGTAGTCTTTTTTAAGGGTAAATTTTTAGTAATTACTAGATATAGCTAGTAATTAGATAAAAGTAAAGTTAGGTACTAAGAGTAGTAAGTTAAGAAAGGAATAGTAACTAATATAATTTAATAGTAAGGGAAAGAAAGATATAGTTATAAACTACTTAGTTAAGCTTATAATTATATATTTTAAGTAGAAAGTTAATTACTTATAGCTATAGAAGAGGTGAGGTTTTTTATAATTTAATTATAAGATATATAAAGTTAAAGGCCTCCTTTTTATAGATAGTAACATTTTAATTAATATACCTACTTCGCTCTTACTATTAAAACCTAAATAATTATATTCTTTTTAGTTTAGTTAATCTTAGTTTTATAGTAAAAGGCTCTTTAAATTATCCTTTTTTATCTTATTAATAAGTTAATATAGTGAATAAGCCTTTAAGTTATTATAACTACTATTTTTAGTATTAACTACCCCTCTAGTTAGATATAAAAAGGCGTATCTCTTCTACTTAGCTATATCTCTCTTTTCTTCCTCTTAATATATTATCTTTTATAATCCCTAACTTAGCTAATACTTTATAATAATAACTAAACTACTTCTAAGTAGTATAATTATAAATATTAAAATTAATATAGGTTACTTTTATACTACTACTCTAAACTAAGTATATAAGCCCTTCCCCTTCTCTCCTATACTAGCTTCTATAAATTATAAGGATAAAAAAGGAACTATTTATCTATTTAGACTTATTATACTACTATTAATCATAATAGGTTATCTTTCTAAAACTATTCAGACTACTACTAACCTATATATAAGTTTCTCTTTCTCTTTCCTAAACTCCTATTAAAGGTCTTATTAGTTAGGTTTAGTATAAAATAAGCTTTATTTATAAGATTACTATTAATAAAAGAGTTAAAGGAGTTACTCTAAGGTTCTAATATTTACTCACTAAGTTCTTAATAATATATATAGAACTAATTAATAAGAGAGAAGTATTAGATAGGTTTCTATTTTTTATAAGAGAGGTTTATATTATAGAGGGTTATACTAACCTCTAAGGATAGCTATACTAAAAGATAGATAGGTTAGAAGTAATTAAAGCCTTATTAATTTATATATATAGCACCTAAAATCTCTTTCTATATAATAAATACTTTAAGTATTAGGTAAAGATATCTTTTGAAGCTAAGTAGAGTAACTACTAAATTACTATATCTATTCCTTTTTAGGAGTATATTTCCCACTAAACTAAATAAAAAGGGGCTTATTTTAACTATATCTACTATAAGAAGAGCTCCTTATACTAATATAAACTTAACTATAACTAAGAAACTACTAACTAGATTAAATATATTAAGAAGGGTAATAAGAAGAAAAGTATTTCTAATAGTACCCCTTATAAAGAGGGTAGAGGTATTAACATAATATTTTATTCTAAGTATAAATATTTTAGAAGTAAGACTATTATACTAGTATATAAACTATTAATTAACTAATTCACTAAGTTAGCTCTAAAGCATAAATTTAAATTATAGTAGTATTCCTAGATAGTTTCCTATAAGATCTTTAATAAGGACC